CGACAAAACATAATATTGAAAATAACATCAGATCCAAACACTTGTTAGCAAAGGTTTTACAAGATTAAAAAGTACAACATTGCCTACATTCCAGGAAATCAAAATGCAACAAGGTTGAAAAATATTACTGTTACTGAGTGACAGAAAAATATCAATTATGGATGTACTGTATATATGTAGCAAAATATAGAAACATACAGAAATGCACAAAAAAGATAGTAAAAGTATATTTTCACCTTCATTCCTTATGCTGTGGCTAAATACAGAAGAGGTAGTGATGTGGGAATTTATCTTGTTTAATTTCATATCACTCCTCAACTCTTTCAAATAATTCAGATCAGTTACATGGGAATAAGAGAAAACAAAGATGAACAAAATGCACAAACAACATATATAGACACTCAGTTAAAGAGAGTTTTGTAAAAGGTTTTGCACACAGCATCCAGAAATTTGCTTAAATCTTATAACCTGTCAAAAATGTGAAAGCTGATCTATAGTACGGCATTCAAATGCGGTCATAGGTTGAAGGGGCAGTTGGAAATGACACATAGACAAAACCCTCATGCAAACAGAAGTGTCAACTGTATGCTCTGATAAGTCCAGGCCAACATTTACACGCGAAAAGAATGTTGGATTGGATCCAAACCTGTTTGAGTGGAAGGGATTTCAACTTGGCAAGAATATCCTATGACTAATAATGTCCCTCTTTGCGCTGCAATATCCCATCCCAAAAGCCATCGCCTTTTTGAATGTTCTAACAATCAGGAATAGCATTTGGAAGGAATGTATGGTTATGATATATAGATATAGATACAGAAAAAGCTTGATGCACAAACATAACCATTGAACTGGAATTCAACCCATTACCTTTTATTTCTCTATTGGATGGAAAAATTAATTTAGAATAGAATAGAATAGAATAGAATTTTATTATTTATATGCCGCCCTTCTCCGGGAGAACTCAGGGCGGCGAACAATTCAAACGGGGGAAAAGGGGAACATAAAAACGAAATACAAATAATAAAA